ATTGTGCTCTCTAGGAAAATGCCTGGTACACTGACTGGAAGTCAGATCAGCCTCAGTTTGAGTTCTATCTACCATTCATTCATTATGCAATTTTAGGGATAATCAACCTCTTACATCCTTACTTTCATCATCCTAAATGGAATAAAGTTTGTGACCTCTATGTGTTGGAAATATACCATTTGGGTACATCCTGTGATGTAACATACTGAGGGGGAGGTTCATGTCTTTTCTTTGAGACATGGTGTTGTAAAGCAAGAATTTATTTGAAAAACCACTGAACTAACTAGCTGTCTATTTCCTGTCTGCATTTTTAAATCATATGTGCCTCACCTTGGCTATTCTGATGATGAACACATGTGGGTGGAATATATGGCATATAGAACAGGTTAACAATAAATAATAGCTTTATTATTTTTTAACAAAGGTCTCCTGTCAGTATTTGTAATTTAAGTAATATATATTATATTCATTTCAGCATTGTGGGTTTTTTTGTTGTTGTTGCTCTGTGATAGGGTATTGCTATATAGTTCAGGTTGGCACTGAACTTCCTGTGTAGACCTAGTTGATGTAAAACTTATGGCAATTCCTCCTGCCAAAGCTTCCTGAGAACTAGAATTATAGGCAGGCATCTCCATGCTTGCCTAGTGTTCTGGTTTTGAAGAGCTTCACATCAGGCTTCATGAAAGAAGTCATAAAACAAACAGAAAACCCCTAGACATTTGAATGAAAACATGCACAGGAAGTAATTCTGAGTTGAACAATTGTGATCACATCAAAATTAAAAGCTTCTGTACAGAAAAGGAAACCACTAACAAGAGTGAAGAGACAATGTACAGAATAGGCAGAAGTTTTTACCAGTCACTCCTGTGAAAAAGACATAACATCTGAAATATATAAAGAATTAAAAAAAATCAGAACCATCCAAATTTAAAGACCTAATCCAAAAATGGGCTACTAAGACAGACACTTCCCAGATGAAGTACAAATAGCAAATAAATATATGAAAAAAAAGTTCAACATCATTGGTAATTCAAGAAATGCAAATTAAAACAACACTGGAATTCTATCTCACCCCAGAAGGAATGGCTATTATGAAGAAGTCAACCTATAACAAATGCTGGAGAGGCTATGGAGAAAAGGGAACACTTCTCCCCTATTGGTGTGAGTGTAGACTGGTGCAACCAATATAGAAATCAGTGTGGTTATTCCCCAAAAAGCTAGGATTAGAGGTCCTATTTGACCCAGCTATTCCCCTTCTTGGTATCCTTCCTCAAAGAGGTAAAAGGACCCCCTACAACAGTGACATTATGCACACCCGTGTTTATAACAGCACAATTTACAAAAGCTAAATCTTATAGCTCATATGTCAATCAATAAATGAAGTGGTAAAGAAAATGAGGTATGAAAGCTCGTGGAAGAGAAAGGAGGAACTCTTGAAGACATAGGGGTAGGCAAAGAGTTCATGAACAAAAATCAAATCGCACAGGTAATAATGGAAAGAATTAACAAATGGGACCTCCTCTTATTGAGAAGTTTCTTCACATCAAAAGAAATTACCAACAAAGTGAAAAGGCAACCCACAAATTTGGAAAATATCATGACAAATAAGTACTTAGACAAAGGTGTGCTCTCTAGAATTTATAAAGAACTAAAAAACACTAGGTCCTCAAAATTTAAAGACCCAATCCAGAAATGGGCATCCGAGATGAACACACGCTTCTCAGAGGAAGAAATTAAAGAAGCGAATAAATATATGAAAAAATGCTCCTCATCGCTAGCCATTCGTGAAATGCAAATTAAAACCACATTGAGATATCATCTCACCCCAGAAAGAATGACTATCATAAAGAAATCACCCAACAACCAATGTTGGAGAGGCTGTGGGGAAAAAGGAACCCTTCTCCACTGTTGGTGGGAGTGTAGACTGGTGCAACCATTATGGAAATCAGTATGGAGACTCATTAGAAAAGTTGGACTGGAAATCCCATTTAAACCAGCTATTCCTTTACTGGGAATTTTCCCAGAGGATCTGAAAACATCATATAATAGGGATATATGTGTGCCTATGTTTATAGCAGCACAATTTGTGATAGCGAAATCATGGAAACAACCAAGATGCCCATCACCTGAGGAATGGTTGAGAAAGATGTGGTATTTTTACACAATGGAGTATTATTCAGCTATTAAGAATGATAAACTGCAAGCCTTTATATTGAAGTGGATGCCACTTGAAGATATACTCATAAGTGAAATAAACCAGACACACATGTGTAAATATCATATAGTTTCCCTAGTATAAGAACTCAAAAGAAGAAATACAAATAGAAAGGTGTAACACAATTAAAAGGAAAGTAGGAACTTGAGGATTAGACAACGAAGAGAGGGCAAGGGGAAAAGCTACAAAACATGACAGGGGCAAAGCCATATATTTATATGCACAAGATGGTTAAGGGAATGAGCCTGAGAATCTGCAGCATGTTTTTAAAACTAGCAGTTAATTGGTAGGATTCTCACCCTGACTAACTATGTATGCTGATACCTGTGAACTAAGCAACTGCACTGAGGATAGTAATGTGTAGTGGTAGGGTCACGCTTGGAATGCCTGTCATTCTGGTCTTCTAAATATGTACTGTTTGTCATGACATACCAATTATGGCCATACTGTCTCTCAAGTAAATTTTTTTTTTTTTTAAAAGGGGGGAGGGGGCCTGCCCATTAGCTCAGCTCTTTAAGTGGCTGCTTCAGCAAAGCAGCCAAGCTCAGGTTGCTGTGGTTCGATCCCCACAACTCAAGGCAGCCAAACCTGCCCTGAAGGCATCCGGAGGAAAAAAAAATTTTAAAAAGGGGGTAATAAATGAAAACATAAGAAAATAATGTCATGGTACTGTCCTGCTACAATGCTGTGTATGGTTAGATCTCTAAATTTCTGTAAAAATATGTAATTGTTCCTATTTTAAAAAATATTTTTTAATTTTAAATTTTTTTCTTCGTATTCTGTAGAGACTTAAAGTTTAACATATCAATACTTGATGGAAAATACCTATTCCATGTTATGCCTAAGATGTTTGATATTCTGACAGATACTGAGGTTAAGCTCAACTTCATATGTTGTAGGGTAATAATAATAAGCTTCTCTTCTAGATGGTTAACAACCTAAATTCGCAGACCAAAAATTAGAGAAAACAAAGAACTGCAAGGATAGCCAACATTTTGGCCTAGCCTTTCCAGTTCAGTGAAAATTCACAACATAGGAGAACCTGTACTGTAACATCATGTAATTCAGTTGTGTCCCAAATTTTCTGATCAAGGAGATTATGGGGCCTCAGAGGAAAGTGATCGATGATGTAGAGTGTGCCTAAGGAGAGTCACATGGAGAGAAAACATTCTCTCAGCTTTCTCAGAGAGCAAATTGGTCAAGCAATGGCCATGATTCATCCACATGGCTGACACTGATAAATGATCTACAAACTATGGTACAGGGTCTCAGGATAAATCCTGAGGGGATTTGATTGACCTTATCAAATACAAAAGTTACATTACTTGTTATATAGGTCTTGCTTTGTCTTGGTCTTACCCATCCAGCAGAGAAGTGTGGGAACAGAGTATAGAGAGTGAAGCCATATTAATATGATGAGCTGTAAAAGGCTGAAGTCAACATTTTTTTTGTGGAACAGGGGATTGAACTCAGGCCCTTGCAGTTGCCATGAAAGCATTTATTCCACTGAACCAGCCCCCCCCCCCCCGGCCAAGTCAACAACTTCTGTCATTGCCAGTCTTACGGAAAACCCACTATTATGGACTACTGGGTTATATTGGAATATTTTTCTGAATTCAGGCACCTACAATATTTATTTATTTTTATTTTTTTTTACCTACAATATTTAAATGACAATGGAATACCCTTCTCTGACAAAACTAAACAAAAAGCGGGATACAAATGAATGTCCATTTTGTATCTGTATGTTCAAAATAGTTAAGATAGATACATAGCTTCATTCTCTTGGATCATTGAATAGAGAGATTTTTTCTAATAGTATTTGTGGACAGGATATCATATCTGCATCTTGTACAATGAATAACCACTAAGGCAACAATATGAAATGTATTAATTAGTGCAACTGTGCTAGTAATTGTTTTGAAACTATCTCATTGCTATTTGTTTCTCAATAAAATTATAAAAAAAGAAAATGTGTTATTTATACATAAGGGAGTACTGCTGTGCCATAAGGATAAACTTGAGTCATTTGTAGGAAAATGGATGCCTCCCAAAGAACATAATTTTAAGTGAAATAAGTCGGACACAAGTTTAAATTTGCATTGTTTGACTTGTGCGAGAAACTAAAAGGGTAATAAGGAGCAAAATGGAGGATAGGTAGTAGGAAATAAGAACTTGTTCAAAGGGAAAGGAGAACAAGGGTGGAGGGTTAAGGGAAGAAAAGGAAAACAAAGGTTTTTAAAATATGGGAATGGGTTAAAAGATATATTATGTACAGGTAAAAATTATTAATGTGATCAATATGTATGACATATATGCTTATATACTAATAGAAATGGAAAGTTAAAAAATTCTGCCTATTTTTATAGTAATAAAGTTCTAAGGAGTGGTATCTTTTTTATTTTATTTTATTGAGAAATAGCTATGAGACAGTTTCAAAACTGATTGATAGGACAGTTTCGATGATTAATACATTGTACATTGTTATCTTCTTAGTGGTTCTCTATAGTACAAGATGCAGACAGGATATCCTGTCCAAACACTATTAGTGCAAATCTTTCTTCTCATTGAATTAAGTGAAAGTAGCTGTATATCTATCGTAACTATTCTGTATATACAAATACAAAATGGTCCTTCCTTTGTATCCCTTTTTGTTTATAGGAGTCCTATTAGCCACATGTGATCTTAAATTTCACTAATTTTAAAACACAGTTAGTAGCCTTTGTGACTTTTAACCAAATGCTGATCCTTTTCTATGGCATGATATGTTCTTTTTCTCTCTTAGGTCTTCCAGAGCCTTGAAGATCATCATTTAGAAGTGGTAGCTTTTTTCAGGGAAAATGGCTTCCATGGCCTTCTTGCCCATGACTCCGAGTATGCTCTCTATAATATTCCTTCTTACTACAGTTCCCATGCTCTAAAGTTGAGCTGGAATGGGAAGAACCTCACTACCAACCAGTTCCTGATGCAGGAGGTGGCCAAGCAACTGGGCTTGAAGCGCATGAATTTTCCCATATTTGCTGCACTGTTAGGTAAGTGCTTCAAAGGAGGGAAGTCAATTATTGTTAGTTTCCTCTTCCATTATTAAGGGATGAAGGCTAGCATAATTTAGCCTGCCATTGTCTTTTTAAAGTCCTTATACAAAAAACTGCTGTAGAAAACCCAGCAAGGGTTTGAGCTGCTTAGGAGACTAGTCTAAAACTCAGGATGTTTATGTTTGTCTCATGGATTATCATAGGGTATTACAGAACATTAATTAGGTTCATATAAAATATATATATATATATATATAATCAATAATTTTTTTGAGACAGGACCTCACTGTGTAGTTCAGGCTGGCCTTGAATTCTCTAGGTAACACTGCCTGGCCTGGAACTTGGGATGAATCTCCTGCCCCACCTCCTGAGTGCTAGGGTGACCTGCATATGCCACCACTCTTGGCTATAAAACTTTGTTTTCATAGTTCATAACTGTTGTATGCAGGGTATATCTTAAGCCTTAAGTTTCACTAGTCCTAGACAACTTTGGTTCCTTACTTACATCATTCACATTTCTTCCCCAGTGTCTAAAATTTAAATCAGAAACACAAATTGTTGATTTTATTTTTTCTTTGTCTCTTGTGTTAGTATTATAAAATTTCCAACATGCAGTAAAATTGAAAGAATTTTGCTGTAAAAAACCCTTTATTTGCCACCTATATTCTGCCATTAACATTTTACTATACTTGCTTTATCAGATATCTATCCATTTCTCTATCCATTCATTTATGTTTTAAGATCTATTTTAAAGTAAATATAGATGGTTCGTTATATTTTAAATTTGTTTTTCAATTACTGACATAAATGTTAATATCTATATCAGCTGTGACCTCTACTCTATAAATCTCAAAAGACAGGACTTTGATAATCTAACAGAATCAACACAAGTTTTAAAATTAGGTCTTATGTAAATCATTGAAGTCAAACTTTGCCAGTTTCAGTTTGCTCATCTATAAAATAGGACTAATAATACTCCATGGTATTATTGATGAAGTTAAGTGAAATGAAATATAGAAAATGTTCAGCCCTTACTAGGCAGTCATTACTTTGGTGGTTTTCATTATAAATGATAGTATGATTAGGTGATAAATTAATAAATAGCATGAACTTTGTAGTCAGACAGTCCTAGCTTTTTAACGTGGTGTGGGCCTATCTTGGTTTAAGTCAAAAACTTGTCTCAACCTTCATTTTCTTATCTGTAGAGTGGAGATAATAGTCTCATGCATGATCATTACAAGGATGATGCATGTAATGTGTATGATACATAATAGAAGTCAGCACACAGCTTCTGTAATTATTACTTTAAGGATATAGGCCAGTGTGAATTAATGGGTCATTTTCCCTACCAGGACTCTTTTTATGGCCTGGAGTTTCTAAGAAATCATTTTTACAGTCAATAAATGACAAATATACTTTGTAGGTAACCACATTCTTCCAGATGAGGATCTGGCTGCTTTTCACTGGAGCCTTTTAGGACCAGAACATCCTCTTGCATCACTTAAGGTAATATGCCCCTACTTCCTTCCTGTACAGATGAGGGGACATCAGGTTCTGATTGTAGCTTGATGAAATAATTATCTTTTATTAGATATAAAATATTTCACACCCATAAAAAATGTAGTTGTAGCTAGGCGTGGTGGCCCACACCTGTAATATGAGTACTTGGGGGACTGAGGCAGGAGGATTACTGTGAGTTTGAGGCCAGCCTGGGTTGCATAGTGAGTTTAAGACCAGCCTGAATTATAGAGTGAGACCCTGTCTCTCAAAGAAATTAAAAAATCCTTACTTGTAATAATTCCTTTAATATAGTAAGAATTGATATAAATCTCTGAAGAAAAATACTAGTGCCCTAATAATGAAATAATGAGCAAAGGATAGAATCAGGAAATTCATACAGAGGACATATAGCTACCAACAATATGTCTAGATATTCACCTTACTAGTGATTACACATGTGAATAGAATGATCAGTGTGATTTTTTTAAATTAACAGCAAATACTGAAACAGTAGTCTACTGCTATCAAGTCTATGGCAAGACTGATACCCTATTACACCTTTAGTGGTAGTGCAAGTTGATGAGTATATTTTTCCCCTCTTTCCCTTTTCTGTATGACTATTTCATACTTTCCTTTCTTTCTTCCAATCTCTAAGTCTTGTCATTTGCTTACCCATAGTCTATAACCTTACTTGGTGTTAAGATGAAGGCAGTATGTAGAGAACTTCCATCAGCTCCCAGAAATTGCCTTTGTGTATCTGCAAGCCCAAGTGCTCGGCCTGCCTGCTGTTAACTGTGGATTACCTGTCCATGTTCCTGTGAAAGGCCAACCCTATAGTATACTCATTTGCCAATTTAATCAATTCTTCCCCTTTTTCCTCCATCATCCATTTTTTCCATCTTCATTGATTCTTTTCATCAACAGGATAAGCATGCATCCATTTTCTTTTTATTATTTGTTTTTACAATATTAGGGACTAGCCCATGATCTTCTCACTTAGCTTAGCCTTTTTTTTTCTTTCATTTGGAGACAAGGTCTTGCTGAGTTACCCTCCTAGAGCTTGAACTTGTAATCCTCCTGCCTCAGCTTCCTAGAATGCTAGATTACAGGCATGAGGTACCATACCTGTTTTATTTGAGGGGAGATAGGTTCTATGTAGGCTGGTCTTTAACTTGCTGTATACTCTAAGCTATCTTCAAACTCACAATCCTCCTGCCTCAGCTGCCTGAGTACTGGGATTATAGGCATATGTCATCATATCTGTTGTATGTATCTATTAAAAAATTCACTTCTAATCTCATTCTTGCCCACTCAAGCCCACTGCTCTATTTTTACTGTCTGTCTGTCTGTTGGAAGTACTGAGGATTGAACTCAAGTTGTTGCACTAGGCAAGAGTTCTACTGCTGAGCTAAATGTCTGTGTTTCTTATTTTATTTCGATACAGAGTTTTGCTATCTTGCCTAGGCAGGCTCTGAATTTATGATCCTTTTTCCTCAGCCTCCCGAATAACTGTAATTATATATGTGTACTTTTGCCCAGTTTTGTCTATATAGTACTTAAGCTGCTTACTGTCTTCTTCCCCTATTCTCTTTTCAATCTGGTTTGTTGAAGTTGCCCTCAACAAGGTCAACAATAACCTCAAGTTAGTAAACCCAGTGGCTAGCTCTCCATTGTTATCTTACTTGATCGGTTTGCAGCATTTGACCCAGCCATTAATTCTTCACTTAGCTTTAAGAACAGTGTCTTCTTCTGGTTTCCTGCCTATCTCACTGACTGTTTTATTCAGTTTGTATAGCTGCTTTTAGCTTTTTTTTTGGCTTTTAACTTTTAGCTTTGGAATGTTCCAGAGTTCTATTCTGGATCCTTTCTCTTCTATCTAGAAGTATGATTGATCCAGTCTTATGTCTTAAAATCATCTCTCCATTGATGACTTCTAAGACTCTGACCTCTCCTTTGAACCCCAAACTCTAATACCATGTCTATTAAATATCCTTATTTACATATCTAATAGGCATCTTAAAGTAATATTTCTGGTGGAAGCTCCTAATCATTCTTGTAAGCCTGTTCCTTATGCAGCTATCTTCATTTTTTTAATGGCAGTCTCATCCTTCCAATTTTTTAGGCTAAAATCCTTGGAATTATCTTTTTTATTTTTTTCCTTGGCATCATCTAGATTTCCCTCTCACATCCCACATCTCATATGTCCAGCAAATACCATCAAACTGGGCATGGCAGCATATTTCTATAATTATAGGCACTCTGGAGGCTGAGGCAGGAGGATCAGAAGTTCCAGACCAACCTGAGCAAGTTAGTGAGACCCTGTCTGAAAATATAAAATAAAAATGGATAAGGCTGTATCTTCATTGCAGAGCACGTATCTAGCAAGGGTAAGACCCTGGGTTTAATCACTGGAAATTAAAAAAGAAAAACCTATCACTTCTATCTTTAAAAACATATATGTTTCTTACCATTTTTGTTACTGCTACCCTGGTTGAGTCACCATTATTTCCTATTATAATTATTATAATAGGTTGCTAATCATTGGTCTTCTTACTCGCCCCCACACACCCCCAACTAATCTTGATATAACAGCATAGTGAACCTTTAAAATAAAAATAACCAGAACATGTCACTTCTCTAAAATATCCCAATGACTCTTCATGTCACTCATCTAATTCTTCTTCCCAAAGCCTAGAAACCTCTTTACTGTGTGGCCCCCTGTCACATTTTTAATCTCATATTTCCCTCCTCACTCTTGGAACCTTCCTACTTGCTAGTCCGTCTGTTTGAAATGCTTTTTCCTCTCCCATAGCCATTTTCTGACTCCTAGAATTTTTTTCAAATGTTAATTTCTCAGTAACACTTCTGCTGATTACTGCATTTAAAATTAGATGCACACATATGCACATATATGCATGCTTGCATTTTCTAGCCCTTTTTTCTATGGTTACTTTTTCTTTCTTTCTTTCTTTTTTGCGGTACTGGGGATTGACCTCAGGACCTTGCACTTGCCAGGCAGGCACTTATTCTATTGAGCTATCTCCTCAGCACCTATGGTTACATTTTCTTAATAGGGCTTACCTGTTAAGTGGATGGAATACTGGGCCTTCATATTGAGCTATGTCCCTAGCCCATATTTTGAGTGTTTCTCTTAGTTGCTCGGGCTAGCATGGAACTTTCTATCCTCCTGTCTCAGCCTCCCAGAGTACTAGGATTATAGTTATGCACCACATCAAGTTTCTGTTTCTTTTGTTTCAGTTCCTTCATCTGATCCCAATACATCTACAATAAAATTTAACTTCTCACTTAGAGAAGGTTTTTTTTTCTTTCTTGTTCACTGCTGTGTTCCTAGTACTAGCTAGGACAGTACCTTTTTACATAGTATGCATGCAGTAAATGTTTTTGAACAAATGAAAGCTATAACATTTTGGCCAAACAGTTTTTACCAAAAGCTTTTAAGAAGTTTATACCCTCTGACTCAGGAAGTGTAGTTTGAGAAAGTATAAAATTAAATAATTGGAAAATGGGCAATAAATAATACGTACATTGCATGAAAATAACAAAAAAGTTTGAGAACTTTTTTATGCATATAAAAAGTATGGAAAACAATATAGTAATATAATGTTTCCATTACATTATCTTCCAGTTCGCAAGATTTTGCCATACTTGCTGGGATGTTGCTAATGTATTTTGAAGCAAATGTCAAACCTCAAGTTATTATAGTCTCACATTCTTTAACATACATCTGTAAGACACTTAATTGTCTTACATAAGCGTACTACCATTGTCACTCCTAAAAAAATTAATGCCAATCTTTTGGTATCATCTTAATACCCACTCAATTTTTACATTTTCTTGATAGTCTCAAAAAGGCGTCTTTGTGGTTAGTTCAAATCAGGATCCAAAGCTTTTCCACACCTAACATTCCTTAGTTTTTTTAGAGACAAGATCTCCCTATGTAGTACAGGCTGGCCTTGTACTCACTCATGTAAACTAGGCTGGCCTTAAAATCATGGCAATCCTCCTGCCTCAGACTCCCAGCTGCTGAGCTTATAGGTGTGTGCACCACACCTGGCCAAATAATATTACTTTTATTAGCAAAAATCAGGATCAGCTACAATGTTTTTGAGCTGTCTGTGGTAATCCTAGCAGGAGGCTGGGGCAGGAGAATCACCCCAAGCTTGAGGCCAACTTGGGCTACAGAGGGAGTCCAAGACCAGCCTGATCTACATAGTGAAGACCTGCCTCTAAACAAAACAAAATGTCTCTTGTAATAGAGCTGATTCATTATGACAATGTCATAAAACAATTGTTATCTCTGTAGGAGTATCATAGATACATTTTTATGTCTTTATACCTTATCAGTCTTTCCCAAGTATTCTGTACTAAAAAATCAGGTGGGAAAATATTTTTTAAAAGTAGTTTTCAATGGCTTTACTGAAATTGCATTCCATAGCTCATCCCCACGTGCCTTCTCAGGAATTGATTTGTAGTATCAATTACCGTAATTTCCCGCTTTTCAGGTGCGAGCTCATCAGCTGGTTCTTCCGCCCTGTGATGTGGTGATCAAGGCTGTTTCTGAGTATGTTAGTGCCATCAAAGACCCTTCAAACCTCGATGTCGTGGGGAAGGATGTTTTCAAACAGTCTCAGGTGAGCTAGCCTTCTTCCTAAGTCAACACTTCGTTTCATGCCTCCAGAAACACTAGAAAGTGTCCTATTTTCTGTGATACCTAACTTCTCTCCTCTTATCTAGATTTCCTTTTAGAAGCAGTTGATCTGGATTAGAAGTTTTGGGGGTTTTTTCCTTTCCTTTCTCTTATTTTCTATTAATAATGAAAGTAATGCTAGCTCATTCTGGAAAACTCAGAAAATAAAGAAAACAACTTAAAATCTCATTCATTATCCAGAAACAACTTGGTATAGTTAACACTCTGGCACATTGCCTTCTTTTTTCTCTCTGTGTGTGTGTGTGTGTGTATGTTGCTTGGGATTGAACCTAGGACCTTCCATATGCTAGACAAGAAGAGTTCTATCACTAATGCTCCTTCCTATTTCCTTTTGGGACAGTCTTACTAAGCTCTCCACACTGGCCGCAAACTTTCAGTCCTCCTGCCTCACCCCTCCCAGTAGCTGAGATTGCAGGTGTAGTACCATGTGTATTTTATTTTATTTGTTTTATTTATTTACTTATTTATTTTTGAGACAGGGTCTCGCTATGCAGTTTGGGCTGGCCTTATGCTCACTTTTGTAGGCCCCAGGCTGGTCTTGAACTTGTAGTGATCCTCCTCTCTCAACCCCCAAGTACTGGGATAACAGGCATGTGCTACCACACCTGGCTCTTGGCCAGCAAGGCATGCCCTAGGATGGGTGTAGAAGCGGCACGGCACACAGGGCTCAGGGCTGAACTCACAACCTTGCGCTTGCCAGGTAGGTGCTTATGCCTCACAGCTATCTCCCCAGCCCCACCATGTGTATTTTAATATAACAGAAGCTCTGCTTAGTAAAGGATAAAACGGATAATGAAAAATACTATATAAGATGAGTCCACATAAAATAAGAATCAAGATTTTACTGATAATAGTGACTGAAATAGTTGAACTTTGATTTTATTTTATAAAATGAAACTAAAGATTGTGAAAATAAACTGGTTTTATTTTTGACAATTTGACATGAAAAACTGAGTTTTCCACTTTTTTTTAAAATTAATTTTCAAACTGAGTTTTCTATATGTGTGCAGTTTTCTAAACTTTTACCAGTTAGAAGAAATTTCTCAATCATAGTCTACCATCAAATATTTTAGGAGTATCTTTAATGTTTAGATAATATATTAGTAACATGCAATAATTATATCACAAGTTCTCAAGCAGAGGCAGTCTATTGCAAGGACCTTTTTCATTGCCAGTTATCATTGGCTATTTTAAGTTAGAAAACTTTATAGCAACACTGAATACTATAGAAATGAGCTTTTCTCAGTAACACTTGAGTTGTTGCAATATTTGCTTATCTATTTGGTTGTTACAAAAAAATTCTTAACTCTAATTGATGGTTGTTGCCATAATAGTATATTGCCTGTATTTCTACCTCTAGTAAATGGGTTTTATGTGCTAGATTTTAATATCCTTGAGCCTGGGCAAGTGTGCAAGTCTTTTTAAAAGAAATATGATTTACTTGCACAAAACTGATAGTTTTAAGAGATCGCTAATGCCCTTGAAATGTTTTTTGTGGGTATGAAACAAATACTGAGCATTTGAATTGGTCCCTCTTATTATAATATTGAAATTAAGTCTACTTAATTTATCAAGTTGTGTTCATGCCCTGATTTTATATACTTGTATCTATCAATAAACATTGTGATACTTGAAATAAAAAACAAAAACAAAAAAACTTTTACCAGTTAGAGACTTAGGTAACTTCAGGTTACAGAACAGTTGTACTATTCAAAATATCCCACATACTATCCTTTTGTAATAATTTCCAAGCTAAACCCTAATCCCAGTAAGCAGCATATCTTCTCTGTCATTGTAGTTATGCCTTCTAGAGAATATATAAAATATATGAATGGAATCATATGATATGTAATCCTTCAGAATGGCTTCTTTCATTTCATATAATACCTTTGAGATTCTTCTAAATAATTGCTTGTTACATATATTAATAATTCATTTTTATTGCTGAGTAATATTCATTGTATGGTTATATTAGTCAGCTTTCTAATCACAGGGTCTTGCTTTATAGTACAGGCTGGAGTTGAAGTCACTATATAGCCCAGGCTGGCCTGAAACTCATGGTAATCCGCCTGCCTTAACCTCTCTAGTGCTGGGATTAAACGTGTATGCCACCAACCCTGGTGAAATTTGAGAGGTTTAGTGTCATCATGATTTCAGGGCATTCAGTCTGTGGCTGGCTGGCTCCAAGGCTGAAACGTGGTAGAGGGAAGCTATAGTAGAGCAAAGATGCTTAGTTCATGGAGCCTAACAAGCATAACAGTGCAAGAGAGAATAGGGCCAGGGACAATATATAGTTCCCAAATTCATGCTTCCATTGCTCACCCAGACACATACAGCAATGTGCTTTAATAATCTCTTGGATGGATACCAGGCCAATCAAGTTAACACAGTTAAGATTCGTCATCACAACAGATCTACCACATGTTGTTTATCTGTTTACCCATTAAAGGATATTTAAGTTAATTACAATTTTTGGTGATTTTGAATAGTGTTATAAGGACTGGTGCACAGGTTTTTATGTGAGCATAAATTTTAATTTCCCTCATTTAAATATCTAAGAGTGGGATTGCTGCGTCATATGGTAAGTACATTTCTAAATTTATAACTTGATAAAACCATTTTCCAGGATAACTTCCTTTTTATTATCAGCACTTGGTCAGTATTTTAAAAATTTATAGTTTATTTTTATTTTGTAGTGTTTGAAATCAGTTTGAACTTTGTGCATGTTATGTACAAGTACTGTACCACTAAGCACTAAACACTCCATGTGTTTACGGAGTTTTTATGGTTTCTTTTGCCATTGATTTCCATTTGTATTGCATTATGGTCCAATAATATGTATGGGATAATTTCAGTTCTTGTGCATTTAAGTGTGTTCTTTGAGATAATATGTAGTTTGCTTTGGAGAATGTACCATGTACAATTGAGAAGAATATATATTCTGATATTATTTGGTTGAACACTTTGTAAACATCTACTAAGTCCATTTGTTTGTGGTTTTGATTTAGTTCCAGTATTTAATTTTTTTTGTCTAGTTGATGTAATTTTGAGAGTGGGGTATTAAGGTTCCCCATTATAATTATGTTAGTGCTTATGTGATTTTCATGTCTGTTAATATCTGCTTTATATAGTTGGTGTACCAATATTTGGTGCATATATATTTAGCAAATATATATTGATGTTCTTTGTCTCTTTTATTCTCATTAACTTTATTGAAAATCAGTAATTATATAGCATATTAAAAATTGTAGACAAACATTGAAAGGTGCAAGACATAATATGTAGACAGAGTGAATTTTAGAGTAATATTTCAGAAATGAATACGTACCATGAGATTACTAGTAGATTGCACATTGTAAATAAATTACTTACAAACTTAAATGAATATAACAATAAAAATTATCCAAGATAAAAATGAAGAAGGAAGAATTTATATATCAGTCATATAATAGTTCACTCTGTGTCAAAATCAAGAAATATTCATATAATTAGAATTCTCAAAGTAGAAAGCCTTTGTCTCTTTTGATCTTTCTTATTTTGAAGTTCACATTGTCTGCAAACAGAATAGATGCCCCTACTTTTTTCTGGGCTCCTGTTGCACAAAGGAGCAACAGGAGCTGTTTTCCATCCTTTGACTTTCAGTCTATGATTTTTTTAGTTATATATGTTTCTTGTGTACAGTGTAATATTGGATCTTGTTTTTTTGAGCCATTTTGCTTGTCTTTTTTGATTTGTGAATTGAGATAATGTACATTGGTGGTTATGACTCATATGTGTTGGTTTGTCTTTATCCTATAGTTTTCCTGTTAATGATTCTCTGTCTTTCCCATGTTGAATTGCTTTCCCTACCTAGTATTGTCTTTCTGTTGGTACTCTTGGAATCGTGGGCTTTTTTTTTCTTCCTAGTATATCTTTCAGAACTCTTTGTAGACCTAGCTTGGTTGTCACAAATTTCCTCAGTTCTTTGTATGTTACTATTTTATTTCTCCATTAATGCTGAAAGATAATTTTGCAGGATATATCAGTGTGGGTTGGAAGTTGTTTTCTTTCAGGGACTGAAATGCTTCACTCCAAGCCCTCCTTGACTTAAGGGTTTGTGTAGAAAGTCTCCTGTGATTCTGATGGGCTTTCCTTTATATGTGATTTCTTTCTTTTCTCTAATAGCTTTTAATGTTGTGTGCTCCTGGGCTGAATTTCTAGAATCTTGACTATTGTATGCTTTTATTAGATGTTTTGTTCATGATTAATTGAAGTTCTGTATGTCCCAATTAATTGTGTGTCAGTTTCCTTTTCCATGCTTAGGAAGTCTTCTGCTATTACTTCTCAGAACATTTGTTTTTCTCAATGTCTTTTGTGCTGACTCCTGCATTTTCATTGACTCCACTCAGTCTTATATTGTTCTTCTTTGCATCATCTTACAGTCGTTCGATTGTTTTTACATGGTCCCTTGCTATTTTTAAGAGGCCTTGGTTTTTGTGATCACTAAGTTTGGTTCTGTCTTCCAGGTCTGATACTCTATGTTCACTTTCTTTCACATGGTTTTGCAAATTTTCAGTGCAATTTTTAATTTCCTAGATATCCATTTGAGTCTGTTTCATGGGTTCCATTTCTTTGTTTGTATTCATAGTTTCTATTATTTTTCTATGGCCCATTTTTTATCTATGTGTACTCTAAATTTTCTGAGCAAGTCCTTAATTATGGTCATCATCTCTTTTTTCACCTTTGAAATTATTTCCATTTTGATATGCCCTCTATAGCCTCATGCATATATCTTTTTTTTTACTTTCTTCTACTGTCATTCCTGTGAATTCATGTGGATGGCTTCTGTTTTCCTCTATCTCATTGTCCCCTGGATATGTCCTTGGTGAGCTGGAAGTCTGGAATTCCATTTTGCTTCTGTGTCTTGTCATTTTGTTTTAATTT